GGGAAGCTGAACCTCATTACGGATATGCTGGACACTATGGCTTTCCTTACCGTGCTTATGGTTATGGCTATGGCGTCCCTGGAGGTCATGTGCATGTTCACGCTCTAGCTAAACGTGAAGCTAATCCCGAAGCTGAACCACATTACTACGGAGGCTACGGTTACCCGTACGGACACCTCTATGCCCCACACGCCTACTCGTACGTCCGCACCCATGGCATCGGCAAGAGGGAAGCTGAGGCCGAACCAGAGCCTCACTACGGAGGTTATGGCTATGGCCTTTACCGTCCCTATGGTTATGGCCTCTACCGTCCATTTGGCTACGGTCTTTACCGACCTTTTGGCTATGGATATTATGGCTGAATCTGTTTATCATAAAACCACCCCGAAGAGAAAAATAAAAACATGCATTCACTGTGTTCCTATTTTCAATTGTATAATCGACAAAATGATAAACAAGGTTACTAAACATTTGCAGAACCTTTAAAAATAACCCCTAACTATAAAAGACATTTAAATATCTTGAAATACAAATGATGAGATTTCATATTAATTGCATAGATGCATTTCAGTAATGAGTCTTTTAATGGTGAGAAACACTGACTGTTGCGATTTCGAGATGCAAAAAAAAATACAGACCATCATAAAACCACATCGAAGAGAAAGAGACAAGCACTGTGTTCCTATTTTCGGCTCCTTGCATAATCGACACATGATAAACAATGCTACATATGAAGAACCTTTACAACTCATAAAAATAACCTTTAAATATATCCATTAAGTTCAACTAGAGCAAGGTAACCGATTCATGAAAATAGCCTTATATAAACACAATTATAAACTATGAAGTATGAAAACGCTTGCATAGCGTAAGTTAAGGATGATTTTTTCTTCTTTTTTTTTTCTTTTTCTTTTTTTGCATCTGGAACATTCAAATAGAGCTGATATCTAATGTTTGTTGGTATAAATAATCATTATAATACTATATCTGACATGTGTGTATGTATATATATATATGGTCTTGGATATCCCTGGGAATCTTTAAAGACTTTTTTCTGACCAAGAGCTAGAAAATATATGTTTAAAGTGATGTAAACATATGCAGACCCCTTTCTTTTAAAAATCTTAAAGATAACCCTAAATTATAAAACACACTTTGATGTTTTGAAATACAGATGTTGAGAGTTCATAGTAATTGTATAGATGCATTTCAGTAATGTGTCTGATAATTGAGATTTTGAGGTAAACAAAAACAAATAATATTTATATAAAAAAATGATTAACGTTTTTCATCAAGTTTATCTAAAACAAAGTAAATAATTGATGAAAATAATGTTATATGTCCATTACTATAAATTTCCATGAAGTATGAAAACTATCGCGTTTATATAGCATAACTTATGTATGGAAACTCAAATAGATCTTATATCTAAGGTTTGTTGATATAAGCAATAATTATAACACACACACACGTGTGTGTGTGTTATAATTATTGCTTATATCAAATGTGTAAATTTTAGTCACGTGTTCGAAGAGATGTTTACAACTTTTGATTGTTATCTAAAGCTATTAACATTATTAATTCTATGTTCTATTCCATATGATACGAAGGTCAGTTAAAGATTTCCAAGTGTTATGTGAATGCCTCTAAATATGTTCGTAACTACTATAGCTATATATCTCTTTGAGTATACCTATCAATATATATGATATGCATATAATTATCAATCTGTAAATATGTCGATCACATTTTTTTTTTTTTTTTTTTTTTTTTTTACCCAAATCTATATGGCTACGAAAAAATATGCATTTATTGTGCTTTATCACAATTATAAGATTTATGTGTGCGCGAGCGTATGTTACTGCATTAACCCATCAATCATAGACACCTCAGAATATCAGTAAGTAGGATTTGAATTTCTGAATCAGTCCCACTAGCTACCTACGGAGAACGTGCATACAACCTCCCTATCATTACTCTAGTATAAGTAATTAAATAATATCCATGGAACACGTAACATACCAGTACACCTTCTTTAGTTAGGTCTTGACGTATATTTGGTTTAGTACTGCTCATTCTGGGTCATTTTGAGTGGCAGAAACGATTTCTGATCAGGAAGGGTTGTTATTTATCAAAATTAGTGCGTTATTGCATTATTCCATCTTACACATATATATATGTATAAGATATATCGTGATATATATTCATTGATATATATAGATATATATCATATATATTGGTAGGTAGATATACTCAAAGTGATAGACAGATATAGTAGTTAGCTTTTCCTTTCCTTTTCCTCTTCGAAATCTATAACTGACCTTCGTAACATATGGAACAGAACATGGAATCGATAACATTATTAGTTAGATAACATTTAATATGTATATGTATATATATAATACATTACATATATATGTGTAGAATATATATATACATATATATAATAAATCTATATAAGCATATATATATACATATAAATCATGTGTTAATATATATAAACACTCATATACAGTATATGTATATATACTCAAACACTTGTGTGTTTATACATATACATAGATATAAACATGTATGCATATATATACATATATGTATATATCTGTGTATGTGTATGAAAAAATATGATATATATAGACATATGGACAGCTACATAATATACAGCACACAAGCATACCATACATATAGTCTGGCATTTAATCTGTTAGAATACTATTCACACATTTTGGATAACGTTCTGTCTATGCTATGAAGAGTAAATAAGGCATTATCACTTGTGTCATGAAGATCAGTCTACCGTTACACCTTGCCTTTATGTCGTTCCAGGCAAAGGGAGGCGTGGACACAACTGTTGTGGGCGGAGTCAGATGATATATAAGTCGTGTCCGTCTTTCCTTCGCCACTCCACACCCATAAGCTTCCACCATGAAGATATTGGTAAGCAGAGAGCATTTGGTTTATTGATAATTAAAGCAACACTAGTTCTTTTTTAGATAAATCATCTGATACCGAACTGGCCAACGCGGATTGTTGAACAAAAAGTGGCGTGAGTTTAAAGTTCTTTAGTAAGTAAATAAACAAGAATAATAATAACCCTTCACCGGAAATATATATAGATGAATTTCAGTTCACGGGACCGATCGAAGACAGGTTAAAACAAATAACAGTATTTTCTAATGGAACCAAACGACATTGGTTATTGTACTAATTGAATATGCAGGTATGTGTCTATGCCTTAAAATGTGTGAAGGCTCACATTCACGGGAGTGCGCATGGGTGTGTGATAAATTACTTCTTTCTCCAGGTTGTACTTCTGTTGGCTGCCGCAGTGGTAGCAGAGCAGAAGAGGGAAGCTGAACCTCATTACGGATATGCTGGACACTATGGCTACCCTTACCGTGCTTATGGTTATGGCTATGGCGTCCCTGGAGGTCATGTGCATGTTCACGCTCTAGCTAAACGTGAAGCCAATCCCGAAGCTGAACCACATTACTACGGAGGCTACGGTTATCCATACGGACACCTCTATGCCCCACACGCCCACTCCTACGTCCACACTCATGGCATCGGCAAGAGGGAAGCTGAGGCCGAACCAGAGCCTCACTACGGAGGTTATGGCTATGGCCTTTACCGTCCCTATGGTTATGGCCTCTACCGCCCATTTGGCTACGGTCTTTACCGACCTTTTGGCTATGGATATTATGGATGAATCTGTTTATCATAAAACCACCTCGAAGTGAAAAATAAAGACATGCATTCACTGTGTTCCTATTTTCAACTCCTTGTATAATCGACACTATAATAAGCAATGCTACTAAACATATGCAGACTTAAAAATAACCCTTAACTACAAACATTTAAAAAATTGTAATATAAATGTTGAGAGTTCATATCAATTGAATAGATGCATTTCAGTAATGAGTCTTAATGATGGCAAACACTGATAATTGAGATTTCGAGGTAAAAAAACAAGCAATATATATATTAAAGATTAATTAACGGTTTTCATCAAGTTCATCTAGAGCAAATTAAACAATCAATGAAAATAATGATATATGAATTGAACTTCCATGAAGTATGAAAACTATCGTGTTTATATAGCATAACTTATGGATGGAAACTTAAATAGACCTGATATCTAAGGTTTATTAGTATAGGCAATGTATATATATTTTTTTTTAATCACATGTGTATGTGTATGAGGATATATACATATATAAATTGTCTTGGATGCACTTTTTTTCTCTTTTTTTCACCCAAATCTATATGGCTACGAAGAATTTAATTTAGAATTTAATTTCATGTGGTTTCTCAAAACTGTAAGATTTGTGTGTGCGTGTGTATGCTACTGCATTAACCCATCTTTCATAGACATAGAATATCAGTAAATAGGATTTGAATTTCTGAATCAGTCCCACTAACTATCCACGGGGAACGTGCATAAAACCTCGCTATCATTACTCTAGTATAAGTAGTTAAGTAATATCCATGGAACAAGTAACATGCTAACACGCCTTATTTAGTTAGGTCTTGACGTTCATTTTGTTTAGTACTGCTCATTGTGGGTCATACTTTGAGTGGCAGAGACTCCTGATCAGGGAGGGTTATTATTTATCAATATAAATGCGTTATTGCATTATTCCATCTTAAATATAAGTATGTATATGATATATCGTGACAGATATATTTATAGATATATATCATATATACTGATGGGTAGATATACTCAAAGCGAAAGACAGATATAGTAGCTACCTTTTCCCTTGAAGGATGGAGAAGGGGAACATGAAATGTATAGGTATTAACAAGACTCTTGGAAATTTATAACTGACCTTCGTATCATATGGAACAGAACATGGAACCGATAATATTAATGGTTAGAAAACAATTAATATATATATTATATATATATCACATTACATATATATGCATAGAATATATATATATATATATATATATATATTGAATATATATAAGCATAAAAAAATATATAATATAAACATATGTATTGTATATTGATATCGATAAACACTCATATATAGTATATGTATATATTCTCATACACTGTGTGTATGTATATATACCTTGATATGAATATGCATGCATGTATATATGCACATATGTATATATCTGTATGTGTATGAAAAAATGTGATATATATATACATATGGACATATATACACACACCTACATAATATACAACACACAATCATAACATACATATAGTTTGACATTTAATCTGTTAGAATGATGTTCACACATTCTGGATAACGTTATGTCTATGCTATGAAGAGTAAATATGGCATTATCACTTGCGTCATAAAGATCAGTCTACCATTACACCACGCCTCTATGCCGTTCCAGGCAAACGGAGGCGTGGAAACAACTGCTGTGGGCGGAGTCAGATGGTATATAAGTTGTGTCCGTCTTTCCTTCGCCACTCCACACCCTTAAGCTTCCACCATGAAGTTACTGGTAAGCAGAGAGCATCTGGTTTATTGATCATGAAATCATCACTAGTTATTCTTTAGATATAAAGGTATCTGATACCAATCTGGCCACTGCGGATTGTTGAACAAAAAACGGCGTGAGTTTAAAGTTCTTCCTTAATAAATAAAAATAATGATAATAATAATAATAACCCTTCACAGGAAACATAGATAGGAAGGTGAATTACAGTTCACGGGAGCGATCGAAAACAGACTAAAGCAAATAACAGTACTTTGTAATGGAACCAAATGATATTGGCTATTGTACTAATGAAGATGCAGGTACGTGTCCATGCCTAAGAATGTGTAAAGGTATATATACACAACCACATTCAAGGGAGTGGGTATGGGCGTGTGATAAGCGCATGCAGTCAGGAACGTAAGTTACTTTTTTCTCCAGGTTCTAGTTCTGTTGGCTGCCGCAGTGGTAGCAGAGCAGAAGAGGGAAGCTGAACCTCATTACGGATATGCTGGACACTATGGCTATCCTTACCGTGCTTATGGTTATGGCTATGGCGTCCCTGGAGGTCATGTGCATGTTCACGCTCTAGCTAAACGTGAAGCCAATCCCGAAGCTGAACCACATTACTACGGAGGCTACGGTTATCCATACGGACACCTCTACGCCCCACACGCCCACTCCTACGTCCACACCCATGGCATCGGCAAGAGGGAAGCTGAGGCCGAACCAGAGCCTCACTATGGAGGGTATGGCTATGGCCCTTACCGTCCCAATGGTTATGGCCTCTACCGCCCATTTGGCTACGGTCTTTACGGACCTTTTGGCTATGGATATTATGGATGAATCATTTTATCATAAAACCACCCCGAAGAAAAAAATAAAGACATGCATTTACTGTGTTCCTATTTTCAACTCTTTCCATAATCGACACTATGATAAGCAATGCTACTAAATATCTGCGGACCCTTTCTTAAAAAAAAAAAAAAAAAAAAAAAAAAAAAAATGATGATGACAAACTCTGGTAATTGAGATTTACTGGTAAACAAAATAATATATATATATATATATATATATATATATATATATACATATACATATATATATACATATATATATTAAAGAAAGAAGTTTTTTTTTTATAAAGTTCATCTACAGCAAATCAAACAATTAGTGGAAATGATGTTGTATGACAATTACTATAAACTTATATGAATTATGAAAATTATCGGCCTTATGTAGCATAACTTATGGATAGAAACTCAAATAGAGCTGATATCTAAGGTTTGTTGGTATAAGGAATAATTATAGAAAAAAAACGGTATATGTGTATGTGTGTGAGTACATGTATATATATGCATATTGCCTTGGATGTACCTGGATTTTTTTTCTATATGCTACGAAGAAAATATACATTTAATGTGATTTATCAAAATTGTAAGATTTATGTGTGAACATGTGTGCGTGCGTATCTTACTGCATTATTCCATATTTCATAGACACCTCAGAACATCAGTAACTAGGATTTAATTTTTTTAATCAGTCCCACTAACTACCCACGGGGAACGTGCATACAACGTCGCTATCATTACTCTAGTATAAGTAGTTAAATAATATCTATAAAACAAGTAACATACTAGTACGCCTTCTTTGGGTAGGTCCTGACGTACCTTCGGTTTAGTACTGCTCATTGTGATTCATACTTTGAGTGGCAGAGACGACTTCTGATCAGGGAAGGTTGTTATTTATCAAAATTAATGGGTTCCTGCATTATTGCATCTTACATATAGATATGTATATTATATATCGTAATAGATTTATTCATACAGATATATATCATATATATTGATAGGTAGATATACTCAAAGCGATAGACTGATACAGTAGTTACCTTTTCCCTTGAAGGATGGAGAAGGGGAATATGAAATTTATAGGCATTAACAGAACTCTTGTAAATCTAAAAGTGACCTTCGTATCATATGGAACAGGACATGGAATCGATAATATTAATAGTTAGATAACATTTAACATATATGTATATATTATACTACTTATATATGTATAGAATATATATATATACATATATATATATATATATATATATATATATATATATATATATATGTATATATTAAATCTATATAAGCATATATATATATAATATATACATATATATTATATGTTGATATATATGCACTCATACAGTATGTGTATATATACACAGATATAAATGTATGCATATATATGCATATATGTATATATCTGTGTATGTGTATGTAAAATATGATATATATATATATATATATATATATATATATATATATATATATATATACACACAGCTACATAATATACAGCACACAAACATATATATATGTATAAACATGTTTGTGAATGGATATTCATATATACATATTGATGTGGGTATGTACAAGTTTGTTTTTTGTTTTTTTTGTGTGTGTGCGTGCGTGTGTCTGTGCATGTGCGCATGTATCATACATATAGTGTGGCATTTAATCTGTTAGAATATATATATACATATAATATACATAAATATACATATTTATAAACACATATACAGTATACGTCTAAATATGTAATAATATATATCTGTACTCATACAGTATAAATATGCATAAATATACACATGTATGCATATGTATATACATATATGCATATGTCTGTGTGTGTGTGAAATGTGATATATGTACATATGGACATATACACACAGCTACATAATATAAAACCCAAAAATATACAGAAAGGGAGAACACGTATATTTTTATTTATAAACATGTTTCTGGATAGATATGCCTATAAACATATCGATGTAGGTTTGTAGATTTATGCATAGTGCATACATGTAAACATATGCATATATGTGTTAGCTCGTATTTATATACATGTGTGCGTGTGTTTGTTAGTGTGTATGTGTGTGTGTATACTATACATGCAGTGTGGCATTTAATTTTTAAGATTACTATTCACGCATTTTGAATAACAGTTTTACTTATACTAAATGTATACATATATATTGCGTACATATAGTGTGGCATATAATTTGTTAGAATAATTTTTACGCATTTTAGATAATGTTATGTCTAACCTTTGAAGAATAAATAAGGCATTATCACTTGCGTCATGGTGATCATCAGTCTACCATTACACCTCATCTCTATGTCGTTCCAGGCAAATGGGGCGTGGATACAACTGTTGTGGGCGGAGTCAGATGGTATATAAGTCGTGTCCGTCTTCCCTTCGTCACTCCACACCCTTAAGCCTCCACCATGAAGCTACTGGTAAGAAGAGAGCATTTGGCTTGATGGTCATAAAATCAGTACGTTATTCTTTAGATATGAAGGCATCTAATGCCAAACTGGAGACCGCGGATTGTTGAAGAAAGAACGGCGTGAGTTTAAAAATACCGAGAATATATATATGAAGATGAATTACAATTCACGGGAGCGAACAAATATAGGTTAAAACAACTGTTATTTGTAATAGAACCAAACTGTACTAATGAAGATGGAGGTAGGTGTTCATACCTTAAAATGTGTGAAGGTCTATACACACAACCACATTCAAGGAAGTGCGTATGCAGTCAGGAACGTAAGTGTCTTCTTTCTCCAGGTTCTAGTTCTGTTGGCTGCCGCAGTGGTAGCAGAGCAGAAAAGGGAAGCTGAACCTCATTACGGATATGCTGGACTCTACGGCTACCCTTACCGCGCTTATGGTTATGGCTATGGCGTCCCTGGAGGTTATGTGCATGTTCACGCTTTAGCTAAACGTGAGGCCAATCCCGAAGCTGAACCACATTACTACGGAAGGCTACGGTTATCCTTACCGACAACTCTATACCCCCCACGCCCACTCTTACGTCCACACCCATGGCATCGGTAAGAGGGAGGCTGAGGCTGAACCAGAGCCTCACTATGGAGGTTATGGTTATGGCCTTTACCGACCCTATGGTTATGACCTCTACCGTCCATTTGGCTACGGTCTTTACCGACCTTTTGGCTATGGATATTATGGATGAATCTTTATCATCATAAAACCACTACGAAGAGAAAAATAAAGACAAGCACTCAATCTGTTCCTATTTTTAACTCCTTGCATAATCGACAAAATAATAAATAATGCTACTACTAAACATACTACTAAACTTATTCTGAGGCAACTCTTAAAAATAACCCCTGATTATAAGATATCTTGAAATACAAATGTTGAGATTTCACGTTAATTGCACAAATGGATTTTAGTAATGAGTCTTTTAATAGTGACAAACACTGACAATTGAGATTTCAAGATAAACAAAAACGAAAAACAGAAGATCATAAAGCCAAATCGAAGAGAAAAAAGACTTGCACCGTTTGTGTTCCTATTTTTAACTTCTTGCATAACTGACACATGATAAGCAGTGCTACTATACATATGCATAACCTTTAAAAAGGCAACTCAAAATAAACCTTAACTATATAAAACATTTTAATATCCATCAAGTTCACCTAGAGCGAGCTATCCGATTTATGAAGAAAAACATATATTAACAACTATAAACTATGAAGTATGAAAACTATTGCGCTTGTATAGCGTAAGTTAAGCATGTCTTTTTTTTATCTTTTATTTTCTCTGAAACTTTCAAACAGCGCTGATATTTGATGTTTGTTGGTAAAAACAATTTTAATAATATATCTCACATGTATATGTATATATATATATATATATATATATATATATATATATATGTATAGTCTTTTTAAAGACACCTCAGTATATCAGTATATAGGATCTGAATTTCTGAGTCAATTACACTGACTGCCCACGGGAATGATCGTCTATGGAACTAGTAACATACTAGTATGCCTAGTACTAGAGAGAGAGAGAGAGATAGTAGTTACGAACATATTTAGAGGCATTCACCGAACTCTTGAATATCTTTAACTGACCTTCGTATCATATGGAATAGAACATAAAATCATTCATACTGATAGCGTTAGATAACAATTAAAAGGTGTGAACATCTCTTCGAACACGTGACTAAAATTTGCACACACACACACATATGTGTGTATATATATATGTGTGTGTGTGTGTGGGTTTTGTACGTTTTTACACACACGCATATATATGTATGTGTGTGAAAATTTATATATATATATATATATATATGTGTGTGTGTGTGTGTGTGTATGTGTGTGTATGTGTGTAGAATATATACATATATATGATATTTAGATACATGTGTATAGATATGTATGTGTTATTATATATATATAAAAACATATATCATATGTATGTATATATATATATATATATATATATATATATATATATATATATGTATATAATGTATGTGCTCATACAGAATGTATGTGTGTGTGTGTGTGCGTGTGTGTGTGTTAGTGTGTGTGTGCGTTAGTGTGTGTGTGTGTGTGCGTGTGTGTGTGCTGCATTTGACGCCATTGGATTAAATCTTAATCTGAATTCCATACATTAGTAAGATCACAACGCATACATACATGTATGTGTACACTTAAATATACAATCACATATCAATGGTTTTGTACGTTTTTAGATTTATATATAGTGCATACATATAAACATACGCATGACTGTGTAAGCGCATGTTTATGCACAGTGTGTGTGTGTGTGTGTATGTGTATGTTTGCGTGCGTGCGTGTGTGTCTACTATACACACGGTTTGGCATTTAATCTGTTACAATACTGTTCATGCATTTAGATAACGACATCACTTGTACTATAATGTCTAAGCTATGAATAATGAATAAGACATTATCACTTGCGTCATGGTGATCATCAGTCTATCAGTCCCTATGTCGTTCCAGGCAAATGGGGCGTGGATACCAGTATTGTCGGCGGAGTCAAATGGCATACATGGCAGCCTCCACCATGAAGTTACTGGTAAGCAGTGAGCATTGGTTTCATGGTCATGAAATCAGTACAACTTATTCTACAGATTTGAAGGCATATGATACCAAACTGGGCTCCGTGGATTGTTGAGCAAAAATCGGCCTGAGTTTAAAGTTCTTCCTTAACAAAAAAAAAAAAAAAAAAAAAAAAAAAAAAAAAAAAGGATAGCATTTCACTGAAAATATATATAGATAGGAAGCTGAATTACAGTTCACGGGAGTGAACCAAAATAGGATTAAATAAATAACAGTACTTTGTAATAGAACCAAAATGACATTGGCTATTGCACTCATGTATATGCAGGTACGTATTTACGCATTAAAATGTGTGAAGGCCTATATACACACCCACATTCACGGGAGTGCGTATGAGTGTGAGATAAGCGTATGCAGTCAGGAACGTAAGTTACTTCTTTCTCCAGGTTCTAGTTCTGTTGGTTGCCGCACTGGTAGCAGAGCAGAAAAGGGAAGCTGAGCCTTTACAGATAATCCCTATCTATTGTTCCGTTCTGAAGGTGGTTATACATTCGTAATGAAAACAAACACAGCATTATAACTCATGGACGAGAAAGTTGATGAAATAAAAGAAAACATGGGAAGAATTCAATATACCGACTTATACCGGCAATATTTTGAGACTGCACCAAAGCATTTGCCGACGCCTAAGATCTAGGTTGCCATTTGGAAGGCCATAACTTCTCTGCTGTCTATAACATAGCTCGGCGTCGGCTTTAACTTCACATTTGCTTATAGAGCGTACAAGCACGAGGCCTCCAGGGTCGTCATGACTATAACCATAATCCATATTGTCATTCACAATCGCAGTGGGCCTCAACTCCACTTTCCGCACTGTTGCTCTAGGTAATATTGCTTCATCCTGGTAATATATATTCACTAATGGCGGCCCTGCTGTAGTTTCTTCAGTCGATTTTCTAATACAATAAAATCGTTTATATAGAGGGTTTTAAGGTCCTATTTAAAATGCCTTTAATAAGCAAATGTTGATACAGATTACATATACATGGCAATACACATAACCGTTCACCTCGAAGGATGGAGATCAAGGAAGAATATGAATGGCAATTAATTTAGCATTCATGGGACACGTTAAAAGTCCCTAATATGGTTTTGAGCAGAATGTTACACTACTGAAAAAGACGTTTAACTCTTTTCACAAGAAATCATTAATATTGATGTGATTAGATTACCATAAAAGGTGGATATTATCTGTTCAGACACGTGGTTAAGGCTAGATTTTAATTCTGTATACACATACATTATATACGTAATTCAATGTATAACCATAAGTATATAAATAAAAAAGATATGAATAGAGATAGATGTTTACATTCAAAATAACACATAATATACAGTATATATAGACATATACAGACTATCTGCACATATATTGATGAAATCCTTCACAAAGCAATGAATTTAATCGACGTGTCTCTTTCAAAATTTCTTTGTGAATTACATACATAGGTAAGACTACGAAACATGCATATATTAATCAAGAGCTGAGGGTTTGCCCAACGCCTACAACCTGGCGCCTGTTGCCTGCATAATTGACATTACCGCCTCCCAGTATGAGTATGCGTTGTGATCTTACTAATGTATGGAATCCAGATTAAGATTTAATCCAATGGCGTCAAATGCAGCACACACACACGCACACACACACGCACACACACACACACACACACACACACACACACACTAACGCACACACACACTAACACACACACGCACACACACACACACATACACTCGCACATATAAAAATGGTCTTAGTCTTCATCGTTCGTTTGTCTATGGATATATAGCCTATACTGTTGAACTATAGGTAATATATATACACGAACTGAATTATAGTCAACAGTGGATTAATTAGTTCCCTGATTACTGGGAAGTTTCTAATCATATTTCTGACGTTAAGATATTGCAGTTGCTAGTGATTTCACCACCAAGGCATATTGGTGAATAAGGTCTTGATATTCCTCAGTATAACATTTCCTTGACATTAATTTTTTTTTTTTTTCATCAGAAAAGTATGTGCCTTCTTTTTCCAGGTTCTACTTCTATTGCCTACGGTGGCAACAAAGCAGAAGAAAGGAAAGAACCTCATTTAGGGATGTGCCAGATACTACTGCTTTCCCTACTGTGTTTAGGGATATGGCTACGGTGTCCCTGAAAGCCATGGGTATGTACACGGTGTAGCTAAACTTGAAGTCAAACCCAAAACTAAACCGCATTATTACGGAGGTCATTATGGAGGCTTCCCGTACGGACATACGCATACCCCACACGGTATCGGCATGAGGGAGGCTGAGACAGAACAGAGGTCGAAGCAGAGCCTCATATTGGAGGTTATGGTTATGGCCTTTACCAAACCAATAATTTTGGTCCTCACCATCCATTTGGCATTGGCTTTTACGTACCTTTTTGCTATGAATACTCTTTATGAATTAATTCCATCGTATTACGAAGACATGCATTGACTATATATTGTATTTCCAAAGTACCATATTAAGCAGATGCGAAACATGAACTACTTGAATGCAACATATAAAGAATAACATCGACTAAATTGACAATTTGTTAACTGGAAAAACAGATATGAAGGTAATACTAATTGCATGAATACATTTTATGTTTTTGATAATGACAAACGTCACTTTGAGTGAAAAATAAATAGATATATAATAGATAGAATAACGAAAACTTTGATCACCTTCACATTCCACTCTCTTGCTGCAGGCAATAATGCATTACTCATTAATGATATTCCTGCTATGAAGATATTCGATACGAAATAATTATAACATTTATTATATACATAATACTAATGTATCCCCTCTTATAATACATTTGGTTAGGCTGCAGGTATAATGCGGATAAGCTTTGTTAACGGAGACGGAAAGACATTAGCAGGCATTATTGGGCAGGATACATATGTATACATTACTATTCAAACATCTTGATTCTTCAAGACTGGCTGTAATACATACAGCACGCATATCACTCTGCATTCGTACACACATTCTTATCCATACAGAGCAAACTTGCCACTCACTGTCCCTTGTTCCTGTTTCTGAATAAAGATTCAAAAACATTGGGATATATAGAGAGAGATAGATATACATGTGTATAAATACATATACATATACACATACATTTACATTCATATATACACACATGTATACAAACATATATAGACTGTTATACATATATATAAATGATACATGCATACATATTGTGGATATTTATAAACATCTAGAGAGAGAGAGATATACATGTATACATACACATATACATGCGTGCATATATATATATATACATATATATATACATGTGTGTGTGTGTGTGCATATATATATATATATATATATATATATATATACATATATTTGTGTGTGTATGCATATATGTTTATATATAATTATCTATTTGCTTATCAATACACACACATACACATGTGTGTGGACAGATATATATATGTGTGTGTGTGTGAGTGTGTGTATGTATGTCTATTGCATTTTCAGAAAATATTCATACATTTGCACACACACAAACACACACACACACACAAATATGTTTATGCATATACATATGGTATATGTATGTTCATATATATAATATACATACATTATGTATAGACATATATATATAATATATGTATATATATATATGCGTAATATATATATATATATATATATATATATATATATATATACGTTAATATCATATTTAATTTATATACCTATTATTCCACATACTTAATACATATATGTGTATTTATATTTACATACATATACATATGTGTATATATATATATATGTGTGTGTGTGTGTATTATATATATTGCATATATATACACAATATGTGTGTAAAAAAAGCACACACACGCACGCACGCGTGCACACACACACATATATATATATCTTATCGAATGTGTACGTGCTCTATTTTTATATGATATATATATAAATAAACATTTTCCTCACCATTTTGGTAAGAAAAACAGGGGCGAAGGCGGCTCTCCAAGGCTGTGGAGGAAACTAAATTCTGTATTTCTGCACTTTCAAGAGGGATCGTCCCTAAATCAGTTTTGGATTTTAAGGGAATTCAAGAAATAGAAACTATGAACGTATGCCTTTATTTCCTACTTAAAACTGAACACGACTCATATACTAGTTGACTCCACCAACGACACCTGCTAATATCCATAGTATCCGTATCCGAAAGGTCTGTAATAGCCATGGCCAAATGGGCGGTAGAGACCAAAACCATAAGGTCGATAAAGGCCATAGCCATAACCTCCGTAGTGAGGCTCTGGTTCGGCCTCAGCCTCCCTCTTACCGATGCCATGGGTGTGGACGTAGGAGTAGGCGTGTGGGGCATACAGGCGTCCATACGGGTAGCCGTATCTGTAGCCTCCATAATGAGGTTCAGGGACGGCCTCAGCCTCCCTCTTGCCGATGCCGTGAGTATGAACATAGGAGTGGGCGTGCGGGGCATAGAGGTGTCCATACGGGTAGCCGTAGTGATGTGGTTCAGCCTCGGGATTGGCTTCACGTTTAGCTACAGCGTGAACATGCACATGACCTCCAGGGACCACGTAGCCATAGCCATAAGCATGGTAAGGAATGCCATAATATCCGCCATAACCATAATGGGGCTCAGCTTCCCTTTTCTGTTCTGCTGTCACTGCGACAGCCAACAGAATAACTACCTGGAGATACAAATAGAAAAAGATACAATAATAATGATAATAATGTACAGTCATTACGATAACCAACACGGGGGAAAATAGGGCTACCTTATCTGAAATTCCAATACGTCAGGAGAAATAAGCATTTGACCTACCACAAACTTCATGGCGTCGGCGTTTGAGTATGGAGTGACCGACGACAGGAAAGATACGACTTATATACCGGCAAACCCTCGCCTGACACGCTCATGTCCTCGCTCAGCCGGATGATACAGAACAGAGGACAGAGTAATTACGGCTTCAGCAACACAAGGCAGACTTCACGTTCGTATCCCAGAACTTTATTGTATATGACGTACAGTGAGTTTTTGATATATCTGATATAACCTCTTGGATTAAATGCTTAATTAGTAATTAGTTATTTTGTCAAGAATGCTACTCTACTTGTGCCAAATTAAAGTAATCAAGATATAGATATATCTATGTACAGATATTTTTGCTTATTTATACATATATATATATAAACTGATATGTATATATTATATATAAAATGTTATGTACATATGTGTATGTGTGCGAGTGTGTGTGTGTGTGTGTGTGTGTGTGTGTGTGTGTGTGTGTGTGTGTGTGTGTGTGTGTGTGTGTGTGGAGGGAAGAGAAAAGGAAGTATATTCTTATCTACATACTTAGATGCATGTACAGGAATATATACACATGTATGTATGTGTATGTGTAAAAATGTATATATGTATATGTAAATGCGATTTTCTCTCAGTTTATATATATATATATGTGTGTGTGTGTGTGTGTGTTTATACATACATACACACACACACACACACACATATATATATATATATATATATATATATATATATATATATATATATATATATATATATTTATTTATTTATGTATGTATGTACATATATGTAGATATGAGTATGTATGTATGTATAATTATATATATTTATAAATACATACATGCAAATATTAACCAAATAGAAGGAATTAAACATAAGATTAAACCCATGTATGGAAATTTATGAATACACTAACATTTACGTTTTTTTTTTCTAATAAAACTAAATAAAGTAGGATCTATATTCTATACGCTTTTCTTTCTGTACTCCACGAAGGTCATCAGACTCCATTACTCCTATCTTCTTTGCCATTGTGGGCGGGGATTGGAGGTATATAAAGTCGTATCTTTCCTTTCCGCCACCACTCCATACCCAAACGCCTTCGTCATGAAGTTCGTGGTAGGATGAGGCCCACTTGTTTCCTGATCTTGGAAATATCATGACTTACATATGAAGAATTGTTCTTTTAGCCGGGCTCCCCTCATGGACATAGCCCGGGCGAGGCTCGGACTTATCCTTATATAAATACTGCAATTGCTTTCCACTATTTACCCAGATGTCTGCTTAATTCTTCCCCCAGGTTCTACTTCTGTTGGCTGTCGCCGTAACAGCAGAGCAGAAGAGGGAAGCTGAGCCCCATTATGGTTATGGTGGATATTACGGCATTCCTTACCGTGCTTATGGCTATGGCTACGCCGTCCCTGGAGGTCATGTGCATGTTCACGCTATAGCTAAACGGGAAGCTGAAGCCGGAGCCGAACCACATAATGGATATTATAGAACCTACGGCTACGCATATGGACACCTGTATGCCCCATACGCCCACTCATTCATCCACGCCCATGATATCGGCAAGAGAGAGGCAGACCCTGAACCCCATTACAGTGGCTACGGATATGGACCCCTGTATGCCCCTCACGCCCACGCCTACGTCCACACCCACGGAATCGGCAAAAGAGAGGCTGAGGCCGAACCAGAGCCTCATTATGGTTATGCTTATGGTCTCTACCGACCCTACGGCTTTGGCCTTTACCGACCTTTCGGTTATGGTTATTATGGTTGATTTATATCAGGACTGAATGGAAAAATAAAGGCGTGCATTCATTGTGTATTTTACCTTAAACTGCTCAAAAGGTAGACAACCGGTTAAGCAATATAGTTTAACGCAGGTGAAATGTATGCCAAATTCCATGAAAACAAATTTCTCTTCCTCAATGTCTCTCTTTTTTCTCTTTATCTCAGTGTCTCTTTCTTCGTCTCTGTGTCTCTTTCTTCCTCTCTGTGTCTCTTTCTTTCTCTCTTTATCTTTATCTCTCGTCATTTAGATCTTATAGAAAAAAAACGTTGTTTACTACATCATATTCTCCGATTGAAGTATATATAGTATATAATTGAAAAAAAAAACTAAATCTGATAAAGAAAATCTTTCAACCTGCAAATATGCTATGCCTTCCTCAGAACTTAACTGTTGTCTTTGCAAAATCAAATAATAGTCCTTTGTTATATATGCATCTAAACTAAGAAATATATATGTCAAAAGAGGAGAGAACTTTAAACATGTTATATACAAATAATGATAACAGTAGTTGATAAATGAATCAAAGATGCAAAATAATATAGTCATCTCGAAAATTAGCATTACCAACCATACTTTAACTAGTATATACATACAAAATTAAAATCTGTTTTTTCACGATCCACATAGAAAAAAAAAGAGAATTAAGCACTTCACCCTGTATCTGCTTTCAACATGAAGGCAAATATTCAGGAAATTACTTACCAGAGAAACAAGCAATCATAGGAA